CACACACACACACACACACACACACACACACACACACACACACACACAGATTGCCTAAAACACACTGCGGGCTAATGGTATGCATGGACTAACAGTATGCACTGATCACAGGAACGGTAAGGAAGAACGGTGAGAGAGAGAGAGAAACGAGGGCTCTGGGAGAGCTCTTGACTCTTCTCCTCACTACTGCTGTTTGGTCAGTGCTGCTAGGCAACAGAGCTGCTCTTGTAGGTAGAGAGGCACATGAAGAGTCATCAGTTCTGCCTGCAGCACAGAGAACCAACACACACACACACATAGATATACACACACACACACAGAATCATGTGCCAATCCCAGGTGACAAGAGCTGCAAGTCTGGTGTTCAGTAACAAGCCCACTCCAGTGTGTGTGTGTGTGTGTGTGTGTGTGTGTGCGCGCATGCATGCCCGTACACATGCTTCTGCCATGACTCACTCAAATCAAGGACACGCAACATAACGCTGCATCATAAACGGACTAACTCGACACAAACGCAACCGTTAGTTTCATGTGGAGAGAGCAGAGAGTCTAGGTTCTGCTGGGTCCAGGTTACTGAGCCATGGACCGATCCCACAGTCAAACAGCAGTACGCTCTGCTCAAAAACTATCACATTATTATAATAATCAATATTATGAAAATGAATTTATATCTGTAGTCAAATTAGTTGATTATCTTTTACGTTCAGAACTATCGATCAAGCACACTTAAAAAGATTACGAGTCTTCATGTTTTTAGCAAAGTGACAAAAAGCTGATGATTACGGAGGTCAAGAAACTGAGTTAAATTTAGTCTTGGGTGTGGAACGTCCTATCACTTCTGCTTTTATTTCACATCATCATAAAAAAAACCCTGTTCACAGTAAAAGGCTGCGTTCAGAAACATCTGCAGCATCCTGCAGCCACGAACAGCTAAAGATCCCACATCCTGGACATGCAGTGCACACAAAACATCAACAATTCTGATGAAGGTGAAGAAGAAGAAAAAAAAGGGTCGTACTTACTACAAAACTACTGTTAACTTTTTCTAAAATGCGTTTTTCGTTTAGTGCCATTGCTTCACCTTTTCTTTTCTTCACTCGTTTCTTTTCCAGCTTTTTACAGGCGTACATTTTACCGGTGGCACGTACTTGGCAGGCACAAACCTAAAAAACAACAACAAAGAAACGTGATCAGATTAGAAACACTACAGATACTTTAAATCAACAACAAATGAAAGTCAAGACAATAAGAAACAGATTTCCACACGCAACATGAAATTTGGTAGGAATATAGACGTGGCTGACCCACACTGCACTAGCAAACAGTTTTGCGATAGGCCTTATATTTCAAGTGGGGGCGCTATTTGAAAAGCTGGTGTCTGGACACACAAAAGTTCTTACATCTCCAAAACTATTCAGCATAGGAACTTCAGATTTTTGACATCCTTATGTGTTTCCATGCAGCTGCCACTAAGCAGTAGGCCAAATAATCAAAACACATGACTGAAACATGTTATTTCAAGCCTGTACATCCATAAACATGATCAGATCCTAATGACATTTGTCACAAATGTTGTCCTATCTGACCTACACTGACTGAGAGTCCAACAACCCCATGTGCATGTTCATGAACTCCACTCATAATGGTGTCTGTGTTATTTCTATATTTGTCAAGCATCTACAGTACAGTTTCCTGGAGAGGTTAGCACATGTGACATCATGCAAGTGACTTCTCATGTAAATACCAGAACATCTTCAACAACCACAACCCACTTGTGAGTTCTGGTGCATGGGTTCTAGTTATTATTGTTGATTGTATTTTTTATGTGACTACAGCTGCACTGTTTGTGCTATTTTAGCCATTTATATCTTAAAAGCCTGCTATGATTTTTTTTTTATAATTTTGAACATATTTTTTCTATAAAAATATAACAAATCTTTTAAATTCAATTAAAACATTGTCCTCTTCGAAATATATTTTATTATGCATGCACTATTTTTGTCCAAATGATAAAGCTTTTAGCTCGGTTTTAGCTAATTTGAACTTTTACCCATCATTCTGCCCCTTTCACCTTTTAGCTAATTTTTTTTGCTACAGAACTGATAGTTTTAGCTTTTTGCTTTCATTTACTATTAGCTAATAATTTTAGCTATAGGCTTTTGCAACATTTAGCTTATGGCTACCAATGGTGGGCACTAGTCCCCTAAAGCGCAAATCTGCTAATTGTGGACCTAAATTTCTCTTTTGCGCTTTAGGGGATTTACTACCGTAATTTCATAAAATGATGTGCAGATTTGCACTTTCTAAATTTAGAATCGAGCAGCGCTAATCACAACTAACGTTTCACACGCAAACGTCAATTTCATCTAAAGCAAAGCTAAATAGCCGTCTACTCTCACTATTTTCTGTAGCCACATAATTCATTATAACTTCGTCATCATTTTCTTGAACAGTGGAGGGAACTGCCGACTCTCCTTAACACAGTGACACTCCGCTGTGAGGAAACAGCGACTCCTCAGTCAGCATTGTGTTCACAGAGCTTTATACTCTGACTTCTGACTCCTCTCCGTGTCGGTTTCCACTGAGACTGTAGTGTTCCCACAATTCTTTGCGTGGCAGGAGGAAAACAATTTCTTCACTGGGTGACCATCTACCTGCAGTTCACACTCAGCTGTGCATATTGTCCTACCTCCTCTCTGAGGAACACCGCAGCAATAAATAAATAAATAAGTAAATAAATAAATAAATAAATCTGTAGTAATCCAGTAAGTAAATCTGTTAAAGAAAAATGATCTTACCACTAGATGGTAGTGAAGTGTTGACTTTTCTCTTACCTGAATGTTATCTGGTAAAAGGAGATTATGTTTCGCTGAATATTAGCTTCTGCTATGTTTTATTGAATGTGTGCTTTTGAACTTGCGGACCTAAATAAAATGACTAGCGCTTTAGAAATTGCGGAACTAAAATTTAAATTAGTGCTGCCCACCACTGGTGGCTACCATTTCACATGTAGCTACTGTTCTATCTTGCGTTTCGGTACTTTTTGTTTTTTTAGCTTTAATTTTAGCTTTAGCTACTTCTCAAGTACTGTTAGCACCTAACTTGCCTTTTTCTACTTTTAGCTTTTAACTAGCCATTTGCTGCTTTTAGCATCTAGCTATCATTTGTCCACTTTTAGCTTTTAAGTATTTTTTTTGCTGCTCTATACATTCAGCTAACCTTTAGCTACCTTGAGTTTTTTTTAGTTAGTATTGTGCTCTTTGCCAGTGTTCTTCTTTTAGCTTTATCAGCTTGATTTTAGCTGCTTCAGTCACATTTTTGCAGTCAAATGTTTTTTCGCTAGCGAGAGCTATGTTTCTTAGACTTACCTCGCCAAATCCACCTTTTCCTAGTACTCTGTAATGCCTGAAGGTATTTTTGGTTACTGGTTGCCTGAAGAGATGAAATAAAGAATAAAAAAAGAGAAAACAGGAGAGAAAAATGTTAATGGAGACAAAAAACCCAGACCTAACTTATTATAGCTGATGTCATTTTCAGACGCCACATGGTTTTGCAGACAGAGTAATGGTCTAATTTATTATTAATCCACCCTGAAGATTGCTGTTTCCATCAGGCTTTTTTCTTCTTTAGCCATTAAGCAAAGCATCATAAATTATTAACTTCTTACAGACACACTGATTGGCATCAACACCTCTGCGTATTCAAGCAAACATTACTTGTCTACGTCATGTAACATTTAATGTTTGCTATTTACAAATTTTTTTGGCAGATATTGTCAGGGTGAAGGGTGGAATTTAAAGAGACAAAACAGCAATAGAAACACTAACTGCCTATTTTTAAAAAAATGTGAAAATGCAAAGTTCACAAGCATGAGTTTGCCTGCTTTGTTGGCAGCGAGTACACACCTTTCTAACCATTTCCACTGCAGGAAGCGAGAGAAGTACATGGATTCCTGGTAGGAAGAAAATGGAGCTCCACTCAGATAATCACGAACTATTCTGGGGAGGAGGAGAGGAAGAAGGTGATCGTTTTTGATAACAATAACAGAACGCTGCACATCTCACCGGCCTGCGTTCAGACATTAAATCCACTGAATCGGACGTTGCCTACAAATTTGTGTGTTTGTTCATTTGCAGGCTGTGTTCCTGTTCAAAGCTGCTCTCAGTGGGAAAAAAAACTCCGTTGATACACTGAAAAATGCAAAGTGCCTTTGAACATAGCCAAGAAATTCCTTCTTTTTACGAAGGAAAACATCTAATCTCTCTCCACCGGCTGTGCAAATGTGTGTTGGTTGATCTTATCGTCAATATAAACCTAAAAATATGTAACATTCCATCCTTATTTGAAAAAGAAAAGCTGCAGTTATCCAAACAAAGTTTTCTGAGTTTCAGGAAAGCTTCAAGTTTTAGCATCTCCTGGCCTGATGTCAAATATCACTCCGGTGAGAGTTGTCCGAACACGGCTCTGACATGCGTGTGTCATCCACCACAGATGTTTGATCTGCACACCTTTGTCCCTTTAACACCTCCTTATCAAACAGTAATGGGCCAAAGTGTACAGACACAGGTTTGTGTTTTATTGAACACTAAATAATATTACCTGTCTTTATTTTCAGTGCTGCCATTCAATATTTACCAAAAGCCAGGTAGTGGGGGTCTCCAGAATGGTCATGTGGGGGATCCTAAAAATCTTAAAGTGGTACACCAAAACCAAAAGCTTTACAGCCTAAAATATATTTAGTTTCCATTAAATGTGCAACTAAACTCCCTCAGAATGATCTTAATCACAGCCGTGTACTGTTTATGTAAAATGAGAAACTATTACTCTTCTGTCCACAAAATCTAACACCTTTAATACGATTTCCTCATCATGCCACACACAACTGGAAACCAAAGACTGAATATTCCTTTCCTTGACCAAGTTTGACTTCGACACTGAGGAAGACGAGTAAAGCTGCCTGTGGTTACCACCAGCTGCTTCTGGCAAAACGCTCCAGAGCAGAGCTTTTCCACGAGGGGAAAACACCCTCCTGCTGAAAAAAAAAAACTTGTTTATGTCACCATGTGAACTGAATCTCCATTTATGATTATTTTATCTGAGCTCTCTGGACGGGAGTTCAAAGTCAACATTCTTTCACCAGCCTGTGTGTCATTTCTGAATGGAGACGAGAGCAAGAAAAGCCCCGTTACAATGAATGATCGGCACTTTACAATCAAAACAAAATCATCTACAACCTCAATTTCAAAAAGGCTGGAAACCTAAAATGTAAATAAAACATTATGCAATGATGTGCAAATCTTTTAAAACATTTTATTTACAATGGACATATCAAATGTTTAATAAGAAACGGCCATTTTTAAGAAAAAATTGGATTATTTTGGCTTTGAGGGAAGCTACACGGGATAAAGCCAACAAAAAAACTGTAGAAGTAAACAGTGCGAATAAGAAATGTCTGAGGCAGCGTTGGTAAAACTAAACACCTCGAATCACATGCAAAGAAGGGCTTGATGCTCTGCTCCTGCGATGACATAACAGTGTGTTCCACTGCAGCACAAGAATAACCATGAGTGAGCTAATGTGGGAATGCAGCTCTGCCAAAAGTCACGTTTCCACGTGCAGCACCATGCTTTGCAACTAGCGTTCAGTTTCAATGGGAAACAACAGGGAAAAAGAAGTTACAGAGAAAAAGGAAAATGAGCGTGGAAGGAAGGAGTGATGTCCACACTTGGAGAGATATCCTATTCAAAAACATGAGAAGTGCTGTGTAAGGCAGCAACACTTGTCTGTGTTTCTCTGTGCACACTTTGCCTTGCTCCCCTTTACGCTTTGTTTCCATTTGGCCTCACATTTCCCAGAGTTTAAGTTTTTATACTATGGAACAGTCGTTAATGACGATGTCTCGCAGCAACAAGGTCACAGCATCGACTGCTGGCTGGGGCCTTTTTTACGTGCAAATTGCACGTGAGGGTTTTTTCCAGCATACATGTCAAGTTGGACCGATTCTCCGTTTATTACATGGACTTCCCTCCAATTTGCAGTCATGGGACAATCTCACTAGTTTTTTTTTTTTTTT